CCCAACTTTTAAAATTCCATCCGTGAGTAACAACAATCATATGACCCTATCGTCGGAACCTTTTCCCGTACATTCCTATATTCTAGCCATATGCTGGACGTGTGCTTAGCATGTTCTGACAACAACAGTGGCTTTTATACCGTAGATTGGCAAGCTCTGATATTAATGTTAGGCTGTTCGTGATCAAAAAAGTCCCGATATGACGGTTCTCAGTTCAGAAACTCTGCTGATTTGGATACCTCATGAGTCCAAAGCAGCCGGTGTTTGTCTCCCACTGTCTCTGTTATCTCCAGTTCATATTCATTGGCAAAAATTTGCCTCTGGTTACAGGCAGGCCAATTGAGAATGACTTCTCCAACGATACTCCGGGAGCAAAAATATGATACTTTGAGCTTGAAGGTTGCAATGACAACATCGGTCTATCCATTAGGTCTTTCCCGACATATCGTGTAATTCTCTCGGGACTATAACTTGCTTTGGGAGTTCGTTGAGTGTGGAAATTTCAGGCAAAGACCGATCCAGACCAGACCAGACCAATGGACACCCTTGGCTCGCCTGTAAATTTCTGAGGGGGAATTTCATTCTGAAATCTCGACTTTGTCTTGCGCATATATAGAATGCGCAAAACCCTTCCACAATTAAATCGAAACACATATCGAAACACATATCGAAACACATCCCTTTCGATGAAATCCAGACGAGATCAGCCTTTTGAAATATTGATGACAATCATCGATCCTTCAGCATTGCGATACTTAATGTTGTCTTCCTGCTCGCCTTCGTGGATGTTTCTGAAGTTTCTGAAGCACTTGTTCCTCCACTTCGCTGCCGTTGGCACGACTCTATCCGGAAGTATATCCAACTTCTTGTCTGATTCTGGTGTATATCCCGTCGAAAGCCCCACAATAGGAGCCTTCTCCATCCATGCCTCGGCGGAAAGCGCGTGCTGATGCCTTATATTAACCACCACTTCTCTAAACTCCTTCAGAACCCACAACAAAGGAAAGCCCCATAGCTCAGCCAGGACTGGAATTTCATTCAAGCCCAACAGACTGTTTCGTCATGTCTCTACGGCCGAATCCCCTGCATGAGACTTTGCCCATACTTCGAACCAGATAACTTGGGTAAAGCCCACACCCAACCTATTCTTTTGATGTCGCTGGTATGCTGAATCGCTGCGGCTGAAGTAACCCGGCAAGTTGTGCTCATACCCATCTTGTACTAAGCCGGCATGGCTTCCATGACTGCAACAATAGCTGGGGCTCTTGCAGAGGGTTGAGTCGGTATTCAATCTCGCCAGGAGAGTATGTTCGACCGTCATCTTCATTTCAGGAGGAAAGCAAAATCTTGAGAAGAGCACAAGCAGGCCGACTCACTATACCAAGTCCTACAGTTAACACCGGCTCATCATAGAATGTGCACTCATGTTTCCAAGTTAAGTGGTGGCCCTTGTGCCATTTCATAGCTGACGAGTTTGGTCCTCGCACCTTCGACAAATTCTCGAGCAGTGGAGCTTGGCGACTACCAGACTTTAGAGCTCCTGAGACGGTGGCCACAGAAAAGCCCATGAGTGACGATTTCTCTGCTTGTGGCTGCCGCCTTCATAATTTACTTCCGATCAATGCGGAATGGCGTTTCGTCAAGTATTGCATATGCCTCGAGATAAATGTAGCCAGATGTTATTACCATCTGTTTGAATTGCATTGCCGCCAAGCCGTACCATTGTGATGTTAGCTTTTTCATGTCATCCATATCGTAATCTACACGTTCAAGATTCGGCGTGTCTTTATGCTTCTCCTCGTCGGCCAAATAAATTGAGGCTGGAACAAGGCTTTTGTCTTTTTGCGTCAGAATTCTGCGCATATCGCCAATGGCTGACACGAAGAAGGAGGGCCACGCGTTGTGCGCCCCGCCATGACTGGCTAAATTTCAGTGAAGCACGGCCATTGAGTCCTATGTAGGAAGAAGACCCGTGTGAGAAATCAGGATAAGCTGCAATTCGAGTCATGCCAGCACAAGCGGAAAGAACAACTGTCATGTGGCATAAAAGTCCAAAGGCAGAACTCGAAAAATATTGGTCTCTAGAAAAAAGCTTTCGAAAATCAAGCAAAAGATGCCATACTGCGTTAACAAAAAGCTTTGGGCATACGCGGTACTGTGTCTGGATGCGTTTGGATTCAAGTACCCTGAGGCACCGGTTGAGTGTTGACCATTCCATCCTGGCAGGTAGTACGTGACCGAGTAGAGAAAAAGTCAACACTGCAACAGTAAATTTTGGTAAGGAGAAGTGGCGTTGATATGCAGTGGTGATATTCAAACTGGCTGCGGCGCAGGTCGACGCCGCCAGGGTCTGCACTTGTTCTTTCTCTTGGCAATTCCAATACATGCTGAAGTTTGAGATATACGTTCCAAGTTCAAACCAGCAACGGTCAAACTTCTCGTAAACAGCATCACTCTCATAATCAGCCCAGCTTTGGCTGTCATTTCTGTTCATGCATAGTTTTCTTCGACTGGATCCTTTTCGGCTTCAGAAATGTATGCTGGTTTTGCCAGAACCGTTCTGAAATGGGTCCACAGAAGAGAAAAATCTGCTGCTGCCATCACGCCCAAGTCGTGGCATGGGATCGAGATTCTCATTCAGCAGGACCGACCTCTTATTTTTCAAGTAGAATTCTTGAACAAATCTGACCGCTCAAATCGACATATTGAGCAGCTGTATGAGTAATGAGCATTCGATCAAATCGAGCAAGTTGCCGCCCTAAACGGGTTTCCCAAAGCCAGCTTTGCCAAAATGATAGCTGACTCCATTGACAGACCAATAATACTTGCAAGGCGTATGCCGCAGTGGTTTGTGCCATTCTTCTTGTTTGCTCAAACGATATCTCGCGCTCATCAATGCTTTTCGCGTCAAGCAGGATTTATTGAAACCTGTTTTGCTTGAAGGTAAGCCGTAAAAGCGAAATATTTCTTAGAAGCCTTTGCAGAGAAAGAATGAGTTTCGGGCGCCAAGAGAAAGCCGTCTGTGACTGGATCCAGCTTGCACTTTCAGCGCTCGGTCTGCACTCTTTGGGAGAAAGGATGGTGACTTCTGAACGATAACTGCTGTCTACGGACTGCATATCCTTCTTAGTAATTGCAAAAATTTCATCCGCCCGGTGGATTTTGAATATTTTTGACCCAATCAATCTGCTTATCTGAGGTTTCTTCCTCTGCACCATTTTCGTTGAACATTTGCCTTGGTTTGAGTATTGAACGAAGTAATTAATGTAAGGCTTTCCTCGTTTGAGCACAAACAAACTGTCAGAATTTGTCGAGAGGTGCTTGGGTCTTTTATACTGAATTTCAGCCCTTTCGATGATCTGAACTTAGTTAGGGATAAGTGTAATGAGTGATAAGAGGTTTTGACCTGACAATGACTCTTTGGGGCTTTCTTTCTTCTCTTTTTACTCAAAGATGTGAGGACTTCTGCTATGTCTAAAAGTGTGTTGGAGCTGCCAAACCGCCGTGTTGAAACAATGTTGAATGATGCATAGCACAAAGTCTGAATGATGTTTTGCTTCCAGTCTTTGCAATACAAGAAAATGGGCCCAGAGTCTTTCCGTGCCTCTGCGGGGTGGTTTGAGTTTAAGAGAAGCATTCCAAGCTTCTGTGTTTAGTCTCATGCGCTGCAATTACCAATTTTTTTGGAGACCGTAAGTTGTGTAGTCGATTATCCAGAGGATAGATGTTAAAAGCATCTTAATGTTAACAGCGCCAATAAAATCCCCAAGCCTTCAGCAGTCGAGACACGTGATGACGACTCATTCAAATTATTTCCAATCGTGGTAGAAAAAGAGCGAACGGCAAACACCGATGCAGGAGTAATTGCAGAATCCTGACATCGATCCAAAGCCTGTCAAGTATGCACCCTGCCATACCATAGCCAGGGGATTCTTGCGTTCTTGGAGAAATTAACAGCTCTACCTTTCGGCAAAAGGTGTGCTGGTTAGACCGTAAGACCAAAGCAGCAATCACTTACTGCTCTGCTATTTTGATGGCTTGAAAGAATGACCGTCAGATTCGACTCTGCCTCGAATGTTCCAGCCAAGGTACAAAGAAAACGGTATTGAGTCGTCCGGTCATTGGAGTGATACTTGGACTTCTGGAGTTGGTTTCAATATTCCCCTTTGATGACATGCCGTGCACAACCAAGGCCTTCCCTGAGATGAATGGGGCAATTCCACCTCATCCGGGCAAAAGGGACTCATTCATGTCCAACACCTATCCAAGGATATTTGTCTTTAAGAAGCAATTATGACAGTGGATTGCAAAGTTGTCTCGGGTGTCTGATGACGTCTTCTGGCGCAGTGTCATCAAAGTCGTAACTTTATAGGCCGGAGCCATATGCTGGGGAGGGAAAACCAAGTATCCGGCATGATGTAGATACATCCTCCACTCATCACTTTCTTCGAAGGCTGCATAAGCAATGCGCTTTTCTTCTTCGGCAGCGGAGTTTTCTCCACATATAAGGGTCGCGCGGTGGCGACACTTGACCACCTCGAAGGCACGAGGCAAGGAGAGCTACTACACAGACCAAAATTAGCACTATCAACACCGAAAAAGGAGAAACGGAGACGAAAGCCTACCCTGTTGACAACCAATGGCAACGTGGTCCTGGGCCTCCACTTGACAGGTTGTCCTATCATTCTCACATATTGTCTTCCGCCAATGCACAATATTCCATTGAGGAGGCCTTTCGGGGTCTTGGAGTTGACGAACAAATTCGCCTTAAAAAGGTTAACGATAGTCGGTGCGATACAGGAAAGCCAATGTTGTCGATATTGTGAGGAATAGACGAGTCGTATATGCTGAGCCTCACTTGTGATTACATTTGCTTCTCTACCCTTCAGATGCTTGAAGATAATTTGAATCTTGAGTTTTGATTGACCTAGCGTTGCCTGACCAAAGCTTTCAGTAGCAATTCGCCCACAGGACCTTTCTCAGCCGGGCTTTATACTTACGCTGCAATTCACCTCCTTGCCAGAGCTTGCTTTAGCTTGTTTCGTGTGTGTAATCACTATCTCTGGTTCAAATACTTCCGTTGTGGTTGCTTATCGAATTGGGATATCGTCATTTTAATATGTATAATGGTAACAGCCCTCATAGTGGCCTCGTTCGTATTGTACGAGGAAAGACAAAAACAGATAAAATAAAGTGGAGAGGGGTTATTTATGTCAGGGCCGTCAGTGATCGAAGGTGTGAGTGAAGGGGTAAATGGGGAAGGGAAGCAATATGCGTAATCAACAAAGTGAAGCAGGAAGCAATCAAGCCAGTAAATCCACGCGTTCATTGCTCTGGCTAGAATGGGAAAGAGAAATCACGCATGAATAGTACCGAAATGGTCATTACACAAAACGAAGAGCCATAGTAGAAGTCCGTCGTACTTGCCCTAGTTTCGGGTATCTTCATCTAAGCTTCCCCGTTGTCCATGCTTCCTTCCTCCCCCTGATGGGCGACAGTTTCCCCGGTGGAGGCAAAGGACACCGGTTGTGGTAAACGGACAAGAGATACGGTCATTAATGACATCAGGTACAGCGCCGAGGTCAAGAGGAAAGGAAGTCCGAGCCAAAAAGTGCTCTTTCCTTTCTTGTCGCCTTCCCTTGCTACTACCCCATTGCTAACCCACGGGTCGCCGAATCTGGGGTGCTGTCTATCATTCAACGTCAAGCCCCATTTGAAAGTGTTTGCCAAGAGCGGTCCCGCTACAAAAAAGCCAGCGCTTTGGACTACACTTGCGGCACTGAACAATGTGGCCACGTGGATTGGGAGTACGAAAGAAGCGATCAGACTGCGCACCGCCAACGTCAAGGCTGTCCCGAGACCAAAAATAACTAGGGCAAAGATCAAAGCAGGAGGATTGGGCGCCATGCCTAATAGGAGTGAACTAATGAAGAGCAGCGCAAGGCTCCCCTGAATGACACGGAGATCTTTGGCGGCTGGCGTGTAGTTGAAGCGGTGAAGCATAAGCTTGGTCAAAGAGGGAAGCACCGCGACAAAGAGAGCGAAACTAACCCCAGCGCGAATAGATATAAGCATGCTTGCCTGTGGTAAAAATAATTAATAGAAGGTTACTTGCATGGGCGATCAAAACGATGCGAAAGGATGGATACGTACTCTTGCCAAACTCCAGCCAAACTTTTTCGAGGCATATTGCAGCAGGATCTGCATGGACTGGCTGCCCAAATTGCCGACAAAGAAAACGAACAGCAGTAATAAAAGGTTTATATCTTGCCACATGAACTGTGTGGAGTTGGCAAATTTGCGAAAAACTGCAACAATGCGGTTCTTTAGAAGCATTTCTCCTTCTCGCGTTCGTTCAAATTCTTCCCTAGACAGCATTGAGGATGCCCTTGTGCTTGCAACAGCCACCTTTAGAGTCTCCGGTAGAGCCAGCACCAGAAGCATTCCGACAAGGAAAAGAACGGGAGAAAGTAGAAAAGGAATCCAAGGGCTCTTCGACATCATTGCAGCAGCAATGGGCGTTGCAACTATCTGTGAAAGCAGAACAGCAGCCGCCACTTTAAAGTAGGCATTCGCTCTGCGTATAAGATCAGCCGTCATACATCACCACAACTTTGGTTCGAAAATAGCTCCACGCTACAAGGGCACGAGAGGAAGATGCATACCGATCTTCTTCATCTGTTACATCAGTGACCATAACATAGAGAGTCGAGGTAGCCACACCGGAACCGCCTCCAAATAGCTGTATAAATTGTGCAAACCATACGAGGCGAAGAGTGAAGATATCAGGCAGCAAGCCTAGGAAGAAACTTAGCCTCAACACGATAAGTAATTCGATTTCAAGTGACGTACAGATAACCTTGATGCAAAGCTCGGAAAGCCAAATTCCAAAGAGAGAGAGAAATAGAACGGGTCTACGACCAAGGCGATCAGCTAAAACTCCCAATGGCAATCCAAGGACGATGCCTATCCTCAAGTTGAAATTAGCCTCGCCAAGCTTCACAGTTTAATCTGTATCTATTGCCCAAACAGGTTTAAATTTGTCCAAACGCACCTGGAAGCATGGCGAAAGTATCCAACCAGCCATTTATTAAAGCTACTTCGCTCTGCACAGGTTCGATTTTGCAATCATACCGTTCAAGTGAAGATGCTGAATCCGATAGCGCATGGTTGCCGTCGCGGTAGAAGCGACGACAGATTATTTTCTCGAATATTTCTGTCTGAGGTGCCTTTTGAATATCATTACTAACATCGATAATAAGAATGAGCAGCAAAGTCATGCAAAATACGTAAACAGATTTTGGAAATCTTGGCGGATAACGCTGCGGAGGATTCGCATATTGCAGGAGTGGAGTGGTTTCAGAGTTATATTGGCCTTCTGGATTTCTGGATGATCCATTGATTGCAATTTCCTCATTTGTTGGTTCCAATGAGGGCGGGAAGTCATTGGTTGAAGGAGGGGATTTTGCACTGGTGGTGCGACGAGATTGCGGATCTTGACTTTCAACATGCTCCCACTCTTCAGATAAATCTCCATGTTCAGCGACCATCCTCACTTCCCCAATGGCGGTCAGGCAGTATTTCAGCAAGGTGTCAGATCGCTTGCTGCTTGTTTGGCTTGCTTTGTTTCTCTCGTCCTTGCAATACACACTTTCTTCTGGTTCCGAAAAAGGCAATAAATAGTAGGCGCCCGTTCGATGTCACGGGGGTATACCCATTAATATATATTGCTTTGAGTTGCGACTATTCAAGCGCCATCGATCTAGGACCAAGTCTCCGTATTTTTTTATATCTGCATTTTAATCCTAAGGCAGTTTCCCAGTTCCGGCTTCGTCCTGATTGAGACAACGGATGCGAGAACTCCAAGGTTCGCGGCAGATTTCAGCAAGCAGGTCTTTTAATACTTCTGCGTGTCCCGTCTCCTTGAGCTACGGCTACTCCACGGCAAGAGTCAAAGCGCCCTTGTATGTGAAGCGACGAATGGAAAATGCACAGAGCACTCTGAACTAAGGTAGCTAAAGGGTTAGAAGAGTACAGGGTACATGTGGTGTCATCAAGATTACCTACCTACCTCCTTACTACTCCGGACAAGCTTGACTTTTCATATCATGATATGATAGGACGGAGATAGTGACATGGTCGATACGCTGTAAATGTCGAATGCAACATAAGTTGCGGGGGAGAGCTGACGAGGCGCACTAATGATTGCTAATGCTCAGCCAATGTATTGTAGCTGCAACGACAGCTCAACTGCAATCGCAACAGATATTCTTTGTAATCAGCTCAAATCCATCTAAAATTCACAGAACATGCCTATCATTTGTCAGCGAAAAGTGAAGATGTAATGAAAGAGGGTTTAAAGTTTGGGATTATTTGATGTCAAAGATGTCAGGTCATGTGTAGCTAAAGAATTCGGCTCAGTTCGGTAAAGATGTACCGTAGTTAGCGGAGCTTTCGGGACGACTTCATAACGAGACGACATTGAGGAATTATTGAATCGAGCACGGTGTGTTATCACGCGATTTCCAGGCGCTTCGACGGCATTTACTCAATTTCTTTCCCTAGAATAATCATCGTGGACGGCTCGATGTAGAGTACCCTCTTCGCTCTAAAGCTCGGATACGCCACTGTCACTCGAACTTTTGGTATAATAACTAAGCAAAATGCTGGCTTCTGTCCAATCGGCGGACAATCATACTGCTGCCTGGGGCTGGTGCGGCGTGGTTTTGACGCTATCCATGTAATTAAAATGTTTCGACAGACCCCAGGAGGTCTAATACTCCTGCGTGGGAAGCCGTGCTACGGTAATTCAACTCCAACTCAACTCCGATAAGTGGCCTAAATATGACTTATCCCTCTTGCCCTCCATTCTCCCACCCCCATGGGTGGGAGAGGTTATTACTGAAGTGACAGACTCCCCAGTCACTCGGGCTGTCATTCGCACTGCCAACATGACAATGATCGTCGAATGTTCGCCGCAGGCCGACAATGTTTTTGGTCCCACAGTTGTCTCTTGCAGAGAAGGGTTCGACTTCACATTGCTCTTCGAGCAAACTGTTTTGTCTATTTTGCCACTTGCGGCGTTCTTCTGTGCATCTCTCTACCGCTTCGTTGGACTCTCACGTCAAAGACGAAAGACTTTGCCAAGTTCAGGAATTGGTCTCAAGTCCTTGAAGATTGTACGTCGAGTCCGTCTCATCCGACTCTTTCCTTGTGCAATGTATTTCATTATCTAACCGTTCTTGTGCCATGTTCAGTTGGTGACCTTATGTTTTGGATGCTCGCAATTAATTTTGATCATTTTGTGGGTGGGAGCAGGCACACACCCTGTCCGGAGCTCTTTTGCCGCGACAGCTCTCTCAATTGCAGGATCAATCGTACTGGCATTGCTCTCCTTCTTGGAGCATGACCGTTCAATCCGGCCCTCATTCATTATTAGTGTCTATCTTTCTTTTTCCATCCTATTTGACCTCAGCCAAACGCGTACGTTGTGGCTGCGAGCCGGCGATATCCCAGTAGCTTCTGCTTTTACAACGGGGGTTGTTTTGAAGATACTCATTCTGGTACTTGAGGCGGTGGAAAAACGGAAATACTTACAACACCCCTATAGAAGCTATTCGCCTGAAGCACTTGCTGGCATAATCAATCGCAGTGTATTCTGGTGGCTCAACCCGCTATTCTTTAAAGGCTCATCCAATTTCCTCAAAGATAATGACCTCTTTCCGATCGATCCTTCGCTATGCAGTGAGGATCTGCTTTCTCATAGGTTCACTAAAACCTGGTCTTCTTGGAAATCATCGGGAAAGCATGCTTTGCTCTACGCCACCGCCGTTTGCTTTCGACGCCCTTTCATATTGATAGTCTTTCCACGTCTCTGCCAATCTGCGTTCAAATTTGCTCAACCTCTATTGATCAATCGAGCTGTAGCTTTGATGGCGGAGCCCAATTCTGATCAAAAAACCAACGTGGGTCGAGCGCTTATCGGAGCCACAGCATTGATATACATCGGGATTGCTCTCAGTACCGCGCAATACCAACACAAAGTATACCGATGTATGACAATGGTCCGCGGAGGATTGGTTTCTATCATCTATGACACGACCCTCTCTCTCGATGCCAAAACTGCCTCCGAGGCTGCTGCGGTCACGCTAATGAGTACGGATATTGATCGCGTTGTAGCCGGCATTGAAGAGTTTGATGCCCTTTGGGCGGGCCCTATCGAGGTCGGCATCGCAATTTACCTTCTAGCCAGACAGCTTGGTTTAGCTTGTCTCGTGCCCGTTATCATTACTGCCTGTACGTGCTATATGATTGTTTATCTGCATTGACACTTCAACTCCTAACGTTTCCGCCCGACAGTGAGTACTGGCGCCGTGTTTAGCATTGGGAAAGTTTCCACTAGTTCACAAAAGATTTGGACAGCAGCCGGTCAAGTGCGTATTTCTGCCACTGCAGCTGCTGTCTCTCACATTAAAGGAATCAAAATGTCTGGACTGACGGAAAGGGTGGCAAATGACCTCCAGACACGCAGGGTAGAGGAAGTCAACTTGTCGAAAAAGGCCCGCCGTCTCAGAACCGCTACGAATGGCATTGCAAATTTCTCCTCAATTGCTGCCCCTGCTTTAACATTCATCGTATACATGTTGATGGTCCAGGCTAATGGGGCACACTTTGATCCCACCATTGCATTTACATCACTTTCGCTTATTGTCCTCATCAGCAGTCCTATCGGTAATTTTGTCTTTGCCTATTCACAGTTTACTGCTGGTCTAGGTTGCCTTGATCGCATTCAGACCTATCTCCATTCACACGTTCACCGCGATGATCGTCTTAAACATGCTCCGTCAGAACAGAAACACTCCATGGCTGATTGTGACAGAACTTATTCGCCCGGCCAAGCCATTGAGTTGGAACAAATACGCGCCCAAAAGGCTGCTTCAAAGCTTGGAGATACTGAAAGTCTCATAAGGGTCGAAAACGCCGACTTTTCCTTCGTCCTTGGCGAACCTCCTGTTCTGCATGATGTTTCCATCTCTATCAATCCAGGTACCTTGACTATATTGTCTGGTCCCGTTGGAAGTGGGAAGTCATCATTGCTCTTGGCGCTTCTGGGAGAGAGTTTTACCACTAAAGGCTTTATACACACGTCTGCACATGTGGAAATCGGATACTGCGCGCAGGATCCGTGGCTGCCCGATCTTCCTATTCGTGATATTATTCTAGGTCCATCACCGTTTGAGGAGGGTTGGTATTCTACAGTTATTCGTGCATGTGTGTTAGATCAAGATCTCGCCAAGTTACGGCGTGGCGATCAGACGGTAGTAGGAAGCAAAGGCACAAGCTTGAGCGGTGGTCAGAGGCAGCGAGTCAGCCTAGCAAGATCTTTATATTCTAGAAAGAATTTCCTGCTTCTAGATGACGTCTTGAGCGGGCTGGATGCATCCACTGAGCATTCTATTGCACAAAACGTCTTCGGCCAGGAAGGTCTCTGTAAAAAGCATGGTATCACAGTGCTCTTGGCAACTCATTCAGGTAAGCCAACGTATACGACGTCAAGGCATAGCGGTCCGGACTAATGACATTTTTTTTAGTACACTTTCACCGTATTGCAGACAAAGCCATAATCCTTTGTTCGGACGGCACCATTGCTGAACAGGATTCAGCCTGCGACCTTGCCAAACTGGACGGTTGGGAGGCTGGCTCTCTTCCGCAAATGGCTGCTGAGACGGAAATGGGTGCCTTTAAGACAAGCGCTTTTGCGTTGCAAAGTCGACTTTCCGAAGAAGACTCCGAGGAGAATGTACTCAATTTTGCGAGGCGAAATGGAGACTTCAGTCTCTATTTCCATTTCTTCCAGGCTGTTGGTTGGCCTTTGATGACAAGCTTCTTCGTGCTTACGCTAGCGGCCACCTTTGGAATGAAATTTCCCGACCTCTGGCTCAGGTGGTTCTCTGAAGCGGAGGCCTCCCATGCCGGAGAACATACGGGCATGTATCTCGGTGTATATGGAGCGCTCTCCGCCATTGGGCTACTGGCAATACTTGGATGTATATACACATTCATTGTTATGGCTGTGCCCCGTGCCTCTGCGCACCTTCATGCCACTGTCCTCACTGCGACCGTTCGAGCTCCTTACTCATTTTTCGTTTCGACTAACCTGGGCACTATCGTCAATCACTTCAGTCAAGATATGGCGCTCATCGATATGCAGCTTCCGACTGCTTTTATCAGGACGAGTCTAGCCCTCACAACATGCGTGTTTACAGCGGCACTCATCGTTGCTGGATCGAAATGGGCGGCCATGTTGCTTCCTCCTGTTCTCGGCATATTATATGTCTTGCAAAAGTATTATCTTCGTACCTCCAGGCAGCTTCGTCTTCTTGATCTAGAAGCCAGATCTCCGCTATACAACCACTTTCTTGAGACTTTGCAAGGACTTACCACTCTTCGTGCTTTTGGTTGGGAAAAAGACTCAAGAAGGCATAACAAAGAGCTGCTGGATCGTTCACAAAAGCCTTATTATCTTCTTTATTGTATCCAACGATGGCTCACCCTCGTTCTGGACATGACTGTGGCCGTTTTTGCAGTCACTGTCATGGCGCTGGCAACAGAAGTCGGCGGCAAATCAACTGGTGGGGCGCTTGGTGTTTCTCTCATCAACGTCCTTTCTTTCAGCGGAGCGTTAGCTTTGTTGATCCAGTCGTGGACAGAGCTGGAGACTTCAATAGGCGCCGTTGCAAGAGTGAAGACATTTGAGAAAGAAACTCCATGCGAGCACTTGGAAGCTGAAAAGGAAACTGTCCCCCCAGGCTGGCCCATGCAAGGCTCCATTCAATTGAACAATGTCACGGCGGCATACAGGTAGGAGCCTTTTCCCGTCTAGAATTAGTGTAACAAGCTAACACTCTACCACAGGGCCGGAGCCGCTCCGGTGTTACGGAACTTGTCTATCGCTATTGCTCCGGGCCAAAAGGTCGGCATATGTGGGCGGACAGGAAGGTAATGAATTCAATCCCTGGCTCAGATGAAACAAGTAAAAAGGCAGGAAATTGACAATTGCTGTAGTGGCAAGAGCTCTCTCCTGCTGACCCTACTACGTCTCACCGAGATTATCGATGGTCAAGTCTGCATCGATGGCCTCGATCTCTCACGCATTCCTCGCGAAATCATTCGCCAGAAGTTGACCGTCATGCCGCAGGATCCTCTATTTTTACCGGGCACCGTCCGCTACAATGCAGATCCTTCCTCGACACAGGCCGACGCGACCATTGTAGAGGCTCTTCAAAAGGTGGGTCTTTGGGATGTGCTCTCCACGCGCGGAGGACTAGATGCCAACGTCGATGTGGAATCTCTTTCTCGCGGCCAGCAGCAGCTCTTTTGTCTGGCTCGTGCGCTCTTACAGCAACCTCGCGTGCTTATTCTCGACGAAGCGACATCGAGCGTGGACCGCGAAACTGAGAGCAAGATGATGGAAGTGATTGCAGAGAATTGCAAGGGCATCACTGTTCTTGCTGTGGCCCATCGCTTGACGACTATCCAAGACTTTGATCATGTCCTTGTGCTTGGCCAAGGCGAACTGCTTGAACAGGGATCGCCGCAGAAGCTCGCAAGCCAGGAAGACAGCAAGTTTTACGAATTGTTGCACAGTCGGAACTTGTAGCATTTCTAGAATTGATATTATTCTCCTCTTGGAAAACGGGTTGCATTTCGTTCACACGAGTATAAGTTATATATATATATATATATATATATATATATATTTTTTTTTTCTTCTATTCTTTTTTGGGTTTGTTTATTCAATAGAAAATGGGTCTTTCAACAGCCTATTTTCTTTCCGTCTTCTCCTCAGCCGTCACCAGTCTCTTTCGTTCTACGCCCGTGACCACTGCTAGTCGTCAGTTGCAACTCGCGCGTCATACTCCGAATCTATCACCTTCGCAGAATAAAATTAAACTTACATCGTTCATATAAGAAATAACTCGTGACTATCGCTATTGGAAGAGCGACAAGTGTAAATGTGACTCTGTGCTATCTTGTCAGCCGCAAAATCACGTTGTCCAGAAGCCCCAAACACCCCCGTGTCAGGCATGGTATCAAATAACCCACTTTCTCGCTACTGAATTGTACTTTTCTGGAAACGCCTTGCTTCCGGCTGCGGCTGCTGCCCCTGCCCCAGAACGAGGCGGTACCGTCCGTCCTCCTTTTCTTGCGCTTAATTGGTTCACGGCATACGCATTCAGCGCCACCGGATTGATGCGCCGTTGTTGTTGTTGTTGTTGTTGTTGTTGTTGTTGTCGTGTGGATGATGTATTTGTCTTTTCGGTAGAAGCTGTTTGTTTAGTCGATGGAGCCGCAGCTCGATCTGAAGCTGTGTTCGATGCCGACGTTGATGCCGACGACGATGACGATGCCCCTGCGGGATCTCCTGGTGTCGTTCTTGACGGGACAGAGCTAGAGCTACGTGGAGCATGCACTGGGCGTGTCCTGCCCGTTTTTGACCCGGTTGATGTTCCCATCCTTCCGCCCGTCTTCGACCCGGTTGAAGCTCTCATCCTTTCGCGGTCGAAGGAAGTGGGAGGTGTGTCTACTGGTCCTGGTCTAGCAGCAGCTGTGCTCTATCCTGAGACGCCTTCAATCTGTTTTTCAAGCTGGGATCTGGATTCTGGTAGCTGGAATCTGGAATCTGGAATCTGGAATCTGGAATCTGGATACAAGGCTGTCGAGATCCGCAAAGAGACCCAGTCACGTTGTTTTCGAGTTTTCGAGCGACGAGCGTTGGTGCATGTCGTGTATGACCTTGAGGCGGGGAAATACACCGTGCTCCATAGCGGAGTAGCGGAGTAGCGTGGCAGCGCAGCTTAACGGGGTCGGTTAAAGGAATGGTTGACGGTTGGACTGTGTGGGTCAGTGGTCCTGGGCAGGTTGGCAGGTTGGTAGCCGAATTCTGGGGAAACGGACTCGGGTCTAGTTTCAGTGTACCTGCAAACTATATACCAGGCGCTAGAAGGGCGATAAAGGAATGCGACAACGACGACGACGACGACGACGAAGAAGAAGAAGAAGAAGACAGAATATTGATTACATTTACCCTCGATGTGTGCACGTTAAGTCAATTCTATTGAACATAATCTTTTGTATCTAAGGCTAACTAAATCCTTTTACCTGAGAAAAATGACGACTCATGTAACTTTTGAGTAGGGTATCGAAATGCGATGCTAGATCTGTATATGTTCAGAAGCATTTCGAACGTTAAAAAAACAAACCAAAAAAATTTAAAATAAAAAAATAAAGAAAATAAAGAAAAGAAAATGAGGGTATTACTGAACGGTCATGCCGAAAATATTTGGCAAATATATACATTATGCATAAAAGGCGATAGCAGAAAATGCGTGCCGCATCAAACCCTTGGTTGAAGAATAATGTTGTCAATCAACCGCACCGTGACCTTACCATCTCCCAGTCCGCCGTCTTCGCCTTCGACGGCCTCCTCGATGGGGAGCATGCGGACCGCACCGCTGAGGATCCCGCCTCGTGAGGGATCCACCTCGTCCAGTTCTTCAAGCGTATCTGGATCCGCAAGTGAAAGATAATCCAATTCAATCCGCGAGCGTTGCGAGGGAGGCAGGAGCTCTTGCTCGCTGGTAACGGCACGCAGCAGATCTTGAGCCGGTCCCAGGACATCGGCACGAGACAAGCGCTTCTCGCCGAGGTTATAGTTGAGATATGTATCTTCCGCAGACCTCAAAGACTTATACAAAACTGTCGACACCTTTCTTCGTCGATCTCCCAAATATACGTTTCTCGAACTCATCGCGAGTCCGTCGGCCTCACGCTCGGTCGCGCCAATTCGAACTTGAGTGTTGACGAAAAAGTCTTGCACCATTCTGCGAATAATGACAGTCTGTTGCACGTCCTTTTGGCCAAAATATACGCGCTCCGCCTCGACAATGTTGAATAGCTTCATGCACACGGTCGTGACGCCGCGGAAAAAAGCCGGTCGAGAGGCTCCTTCGAGAAGTCGTGAAAGTGGATCGATGGTAATAAAGGAGTTACCTGTCGATGGCTCCGTGGGGGATCGCACTGATGGGTACATAGCTGCGGCGGTGGGAGCAAATATGGCGGTTATACGGCCGCCAACGCCAGCGTCGCTCTCGCCGGCTGCTGTGGCTGAAGATGAATTTGTGGCTTTCGCAAGTGTATTGGCGATGACGTTATTTGCGCCGCTCTGTTTCTTAGATGCCAGTGCTTCCAGCTCGGCGTCAAGCTCGGCCAGCTTGGCCATGTCCGCGTCCCATGTCCGTGGGTAGCTGCCCAGGTCCTCGTTCGGGCCAAATTGTGTGGGATTCACAAAGATGCTCACAAAGACTTCATCATTCTCGCGTGCGGCTTGTCGAATCAGTGATAGATGTCCAGCATGAAGGGCACCCATGGTCGGGACCAGCCCCACGGTGCGCTGGCTTAGCAGGAGTTGTCGCCGGCATTGGCGGAGAGCGGCGACGTCCCGGAAGACGCGGAGGCAGGACTGCATTATCGAGTGCGTCAGTGCGTTCGGCTAATGGCACGTGGCGGTGAAAGGGAGAAGAAAGGTTCAAAGACAAAGTCGAAGCAAAGGTATTAACGTTGTGGTTGGCGAGCTTAGATTGGAGTCTCGTACTTGTGTTGATAGCAGCTGAGGACGGCTGATGGTGATGATAATTTGGCCGAGTTTGGCCGGGAGGGACCAAGTTAGCCGAGTCTCTATAGTTACAGTCCCGGCAGCGGGATCTTAACTAATCCGGGTTAAGCCTCCCAACGGCTCTCTGTTTGTCCGACGAGACGACTTCTCAGTTTCCACCAAGTTAACACTTGACATCACGGAGATGAAGAGATATGAGAGATCACTGATATCCTGCTGACTCACGGTATGGTTTCTTGCTTTGGTCATTCTTGCTTGAACCCGTCACGACTTAGCAGCAAAGCCACTCTGCCAAGTCTGGTCGCGTGTAAACTTTTAGCGGGGAAGATAAGCACTGCGAAGGATATGGCAAGGAGAGACAGACAAAGTCCCTTGAGCTAACCATTACATGCTGTTCTCCCTTTTTCTTTCTGTCTCCTTCTCTTCCTTTTGTTATTGCTTGCTCTTCTCGGATTTCAGTCAACGTCGATTACGGCTAGCTATCGACTAATAATTATATGCAGGAACCCTTTTAACCCCAAAGACGGGGAAGTGGAGTACTCCACGTTCGCCAATAAGGCTGACATAGCTGCAAGAAGGCACATTGAAGGGGTGAAGAAAAATGGGCGAAATGCGTCAGTCGATCTTAGTCTCTTCGGTATGCGAATCAGAGGTGCCATGTTTGCATATTCTTTGTCCACGTGAGTTTATCTACAAGGGCTATCTCTATCGTTTCCAAGATGATGTGCCTACAAAATTACTGTTATCGAAGGCAAAGTGTACTCCGTAAGGACCCGCTCGCGTTGGCGGCGAAATTGATGGACTACAGTACGGCTAGACCTCCTGCAAGGGCCCGCTGCTGCGAGCAGGTACCCACCACCCAAGTGCATCTCTCTTTTCCGAAGGCTCAATTTTTCAACACCTTCCGATCCTCTAGATCATGAGCAAACCCTTTGGGGCATCCTTGTTGAGAAAATGGACAGGAAGCAGAACATGCATTTACGAATGCACGGCTCTTTGGCCAAATTGATGGACATGCTGTATGCACGACACATGGCCAGCTGAGGTCACCGCACACTTGCCTGAACATTGCAAGTCCAAAATGTTCTGTGATTGGCATAAGTAAATGCAACGAATGATTATCCCTGCAAGTGACAGCCTCATTCTCAAGGTTGTTCCTCGTTCCTGAACTCGCAAATCGGTCCAGCGACAAACGAGAGCATGGCTAGTGACCGACCGAGACCGGTTCAGCTGGATAGTTAAGCTTCCTTACCCGGCATGGCAAAGCGTTATCGCCAGTCTTGGCTGGGCAATCCCCCCAGCCTCCACTATGTTTTCGGTGCTTCTACAGCCTAACCTTGCCTTATTCGGCAACTGCACATGCGTCCCTGATTGCATCCATGAAGCAAAGTTCGGCGCAAAATGCAGGGGTCCCAAAGATAAGGATCGAATATTATTGGTTTTCCCTTGTCTTGATCACGGTGCCACAAAACCTATGACGGAACTTTTCAGGTCCCACAGGGCAGGCGCTCCTGCGCTATCAGAGTTCGGTACATCTGGCTCGATTGCGGTCCTGTCGGAGGAGCCCGAACCCAGCAACCACTCCGAGCGCTCGAGCTGGGCTTGTTTTTCTTTGCCCGACTGCATTAAATAGCTTCCCAAAGCTACCTTTCGCAAGTTTCCGTGGAGAGCTCAAACTTTTCGAGAAGCGTGAGATTGTCGCAGTGCAATTGGCAAGTGTAAGAGAAGAACAAAGTTCAAATCAATTGCATTTCCAGCGCAGTATCCCTTGTTCAATATGCATTTCTCAACTCTCGCCGGGCTTGCGGCCACTTGCGCGACAGCCGTATCGGCTGTCAGCGTGCCCAAAATACCGTTTCCTCACTTTGAGCAGATCAAGCCCAAAATTATGATTATCAGCATGGTTAGAGTCAATTGATTACTTTGTTGAACCCCAAGCGCAATGGACTGATTTATCACCAATAGTTTGAACCTGAGGCTGCTGTCTGGCATGGCATTCCTGAATTTGACATTCTGGAGAAAAACATTACTGTTCCGGGCTTCTCCCCGCTCTTTCCCGATGTGCACTGTACAGCGAACGGCGAGATTTGCCAGCTGATTACGGGAGAATCTGGTAAGAGACCTCAACGTTTCACCGCAACTATCGAATTTACGCGATAATTTCATTAACGCTCCTGCAGAAATCAATGCCGCTGTTACCGTTGCTTCGCTGGTCGCTACTCCTCTGTTTGACCTCACTTCCACTTACTTCTTCATTGGCGGTATCGCCGGTATCAACCCCGAGGTTGCAACCCTTGGCAGTGTCACTTTTGCCAAGTACGCCGTTCAGGTTGCCCTCCAGTACGAGTTTGACCCTCGCGAGATTCCTGCCAATTACTCCACTGGGTAGGTTACCATATTTTCTCTCCTTGTTGCAATTGCTTTTCACATGTACTAACGCATCCAACAGCTATATTCCCCAGGGCGCTACTGCTCCGGGCGAGTATCCTGAGAGCATCTACGGCACGGAGGTGTTTGAGGTCAACGAGGCTCTCCGTAGCCTTGCCGTCGGATTCGCAAAGACTGCCAACTTGACCGATAGCGCCTCCGCCAAGGCCTACCGTGCCAACTACGCTGTTTCTGCCGCCTATGCTGCTGGTGCTGCCGGCCCCAGCGTCATTGAGTGCGACGTTGCCACCTCGGACGTCTACTACTCTGGCAAGATCCTCGGCGAGGCCTTTGGCAACTTCACCCGTCTCTTGACCAACGGTTCTGGTGTCTACTGTGCTACCGCTCAGGAGGACAATGCTTCCCTCGAGGCGCTCATGCGTGGCGCATGGATGGGCCTTGTCGACTTTAGCCGAATCATCGTCATGCGCACTGCCAGTGATTTTGACCGCCCGTACCCCGGCGAGTCTGCCACCTTTAACCTCCTCTGGGCCCACCAGGGCGGTTTCTCTCCTGCCGTTACCAACATCTACCTTGCCGGCGTCAAGGTCGTCCAGGGCATTCTGGACAACTGGAACACCACTTTTGCCCAAGGTGTCAACGCTACCAACTATATTGGTGACATCTTTGGCACTCTGGGCGGCGTCCCTGACTTTGGCCCAGGCAGCATCTTCGGCAACGAGACTGCTACCATTAGCCCTCTCGCTCGCCGCTCCCTCAAGGCCCAAGCCATGGCCAAGCGCACTGTCGCGCATCGCCGCCAGTTCCTCCCTGCCCGGTACCAAGAGTAATTTGGGATAGCTTGATTGAGCGCACATATTCCTCAACATATCACCCCTTGTATATCATCATTTTTGCATTTCAAAACCACCCCACCCCTTTTTTTTTTCTTTTGCTTTCCAGCCAAGTCCTGGTGGCGACGCGAGCAGTAACGAGCTAAAGTCCAATATGCATTTATGATACAATGCATAATATACTAGCGAGCATTAGATATATATACGATATACCATATGTACTGAAAAATAGAGACAATTCACTATACATATCTCATCCATTTTATCTTTTTTGATCTGATCTGATATGGAGTGCTGTTAATACAAGCAGCATTGACGAGGAATACCATGCAATGCAGTTTTAGACTACCAAACCTTAAGAAAAATAAAATAAAATAAAATGAGCCCACAATAGAATATGCTTGCTTATATATTCACCCATTCTCGGTCCCGCCCGTGAACAATACATAAGGTATCCCACCTGGCAGCAAGTAGCAAAACGCCAAGATGTAGAGCGAGCAGAATGAAAGAAACCAACACTCGCACTCTGATACTGCTTCTTTGCCACTGGCCGTAAGCTGGTCTGGACCCGCCATCATGTGCGCCTTCGCTTCGGCCAAGAGCAACGTCCACAGCGGCGAGACATATCAGGGGATATAACACCCATGGGTTTGCAGCAAAGGGGGAACAAGGACGAGCGATGGTCATAATCTTGAAGACCAACAGGACTACTTTGGCCAGGGTCCATGTGCTTGGACCACCCAGCTGGCGAAAAGCGGAATGGATTCGCGACGGCAAGGTAGGCGGGGGCATGAGTTGCGGGTGAAGAGAAAGCCGGCGTTCGTGTTGGCGGTCATGGTGGAGATAAATATCAAAATTGCCGTGCTGGTGATGGATATGTTGTCCGTTTAAAGAGGGTTGCTGCTCGGATGGACTCGGATGTGGGCTGAGGCGGGCGCTGGATGTAGTTGACCCGTTGCTGTTGATGCTTCTGGTAGGAGTAAAAGGGCGATTGACCCTACGGGTGCGCAGAATGAGACTGGAGCCTGAAGAGGCGCCGTCGATAGATGATGGGTGGTGGTCGGGCTTTTGATCGACGCTCTGGTTCGAGGGCTGGTTGATTGTACCATTTGTACCATATCCATTATTATCAAAGGATGATTCGCGATTGTTGTCATTGTTGTTGCTGTTGTTAACGTCGTCGAGGAGAGTGGAGGATCGAAGATTAGAAGCCCGCGTGACGGGTCGAGGAACGGGTGCGAGCGAGGAAGATGCTGCAACAATAGAATTTGGATGCTGAGCAAACCGAGCAGGGGTGGCATTACCCATGCCATTGACGTTGTTTCTGGCAGCACCGGGCGCTGGGCTATCAACGCGAGTAATACGGGGCACGGATCGTAGGTTGTCGATGACCGAGCTAGAGGGACTTGGTGCAGAATGTCCAAACCCAGCTGCACCATTCTCATCGATAGTTCCGCCTGTTCTAATCCCGTTCAATACTTCCTCTGCGCTGGGCCGATCCGCGGGATTGAAAGCCAGCAGACTTTTCAAAACCTTGTATAATTTCTCTGGCAGGTCTGAGCGCATTCGGCCTTTGACATCGTCAAAGCCCGGCCAGATGCTAATCTCTGCGCGAAGTTGATCAAGGTCTTCGTTCTCTTCGTTGATGTCGTCCGCGTTTTTGTAAGGCAGGCAACCAAAACACATGAAATGAAGAATCATGCCAAGAGAGAAAATGTCCGATTTGGTTGTGAAATTTCCCAGTGTACCATCTGGGCCCTCAGGGCGCAATACTTCTGGCGCGCAGTAAGAGATTGTGCCAGTAGCCCCGGTGGAACGACGTGCAGCATTTTCAATTTGCACCTCTCCAAAATCGCTCAGCAAGACGCGCGTCTCTTTCCCAGTCTTGTGCAGCAAGCAATTACTTGGTTTTAAATCCCTGTGAATGTAGCCGTTGGCGTGGAGGTGATGCAGGCCTGATGTAATGTCTTTGAAAAAGGAGTATATCTCCTCGAAAGTGAGTTTCCTAGGCCCCGAAGATTCCTCCAGCGGCTCAACCTGCCCTTTTGACCGCCGCCGCAGTCGATCTTTTAGCTTCTGCGCAGCGGAGGAAGTATCATTCGACGGGTGGGGCTTGAGTATATATTGATGTAGATCTCCACCATTGCAGTACTGCTGTAAGATGAAAGCGCAGGGGACGCTGGGACCAAAGTTGGTCAGCTTGACGTCTTCAAGCCAGACATGGCGATAGGAGACGAGATTTTGATGAGAAAGGTGCTGCAATAGCTGCACCTCTATCAAAACTTTTTCAAGCCATTCGTGGTCGTCGCCCACCGGGACACGTTTGCAGGCAAAATTTCCCAGGGATACGCCATCCAGCACATGTCTAACCAACAACACAACTCCCTTGCCACCTCTCCCAAGCACCCCTTCCTCAACGAAGAACCTGTCAAAATAGTTTGGGCTGAATGCTGCGGAGGATATCCCGTGAGTAGATGATGACGTTGTAGGGGCGCTGCCGAGGAACTCAGAGTTTGCTGGGGGTTCTTCCGAGCCAGTAAAGCTGGAACCGGTCGGGTCGTCGAGCGGACCGTATGAAGAGGCAGGCCGAGACACTTCTGCTTCTGAACCAGGTGTGCTATGATGTAGCATTCGAAAATAATCCGGGTTCACAAAGCTCGCTCCTATATCCGAGTTTGCTCCATGCTGACTGCTAGAACGTGGGTCGTCCCGTAACGGCCGATCGCAGTATGGGCAGTTGATGAGTTCGTGCGATGCATCGCGGAGAACTAGGTGCTGTGATTGAGGGTCATACACGACAACTGAGTCGTTGTGGCGTCTAAAATTATCAGCGTTAGTTATTGCCCATTACGACAGCGTGTCAAGCTAGCTATTCGCAACCCGTCAACGACAAAGTTGAATGATCGTCCCATGACAAACAGCTTCTTCTCGAGTCATCTTTAAAAGTGACTCTACTTACAGCACAATCTCGCCCCCTCCTGTATATGGCACAAGTGACATGCTCCTCTGATATTCCGGATCCGCCATCACAACCTCGAAATGAGAATGATTGCAGCGTCGCGATGCTTTGGATTGCGAAGGTGCCCTAATGCTGTCACATCCACAACGAGAAAGAACCAAAGCATTCGCATGAACTGATATTATTCATCTATGTGGTTTGAAAATTACGAGGGAAGTGGCAGGCCCAAAGGCATAGAACCAATAGGTGCCCTCGCGACGATCAGGCAAAAGGCGGTGACAAAGAAGTAGATGTTAGCAATCGCGCATTGGCCGATCTATAATAGCCAAGTTGCTGTGTAAAGGCTCCACAAATTAATGATGAACTCGTGGTCGAGCTCCGAAGCGGCCACATAGCTCTTGCGTCTCGCGGCCTTATTGCAGACAAGGCGTAGCTGTCCGATGCCGCATGACGATATCTGGCGTAGTGGGGGTTTGTTTGGGGTTCTGGTTCCCATGGCGGACACAAGCGAGACCCTGGATTTGGTTCTCTCAGTCTACAGCTAAAGGACCTATTCCGCAACATCCTCACCAATCGAATAAATCTTGTTACACTGGCTGGATTATTAGACAAACAATTTTATACATGATACGCTTTAAATAAAATATTAAATTGAAGCCTTTGGTTTAAAATCCAAGAAAGAGGTAAAAATGAGTTTAAATACTACTAAAAGATGAAGAACATCAGGGCTTCAGAAATCTGCAGTCGAGGATGCACACGCGACAATAACATCCAACGGAAAAAAGGGGGTAGTCGAGGAAGAAATATGACAACTTTTGCTGCAATTCCAGTGACTCCACTCAAATGCAAGACACTTATATCATTCTGGTTCTGGTGAGACAGAGACCATTTAGTCAAGCTCTTCAAATCGTCCTTCGTCAACAGCTTGTTCGACGGGATTCTTCACGTTCACCACGCCCGTCTTCTTAAGCCTGACGTTATTATCAGCAAAGTGTAGCCTGAAGCGGAAAGGGGACAAATTTACCTTTCGAACAGTACGAATAGACGTTCTGCCTCGCGTTCCTTTTCTTCGTCCGTCATGGGCGGGCCCGTATCCTTGGCCTCCTTATCCAAGCGCTGTCCGGTAATCGGATTGATAAAGGCCTCCTGGCTGCTTTTGCCCGATTCTTTGCTCGAATCTTGCCCTTGAGTGCTCCAAGCCTCCATGGCATTTTCCGGGATGGGTACATTGTGGCTGACAAGGAAACCAGACGCAAATCCATATCCAACATTCTTGACAAAGCTTGAAGCGTCCTTGCCGGAAAGCTCAAACATCAAAGACGAAATGGACTCCCGCATGGGGGGTGACGTTGATTCCGATGAGAGCCGTAGTAAGCGTGATGCTAACGTATCCGATTTTCCAAGCGGCTTTGCTCGCTCTTCGTCGGAGGGTAACAGAAGCCATTGCATATACCGCTTGACTCCATCGGGAGCACAATCATGGACGCGCCGTATTAAAGTAACTAACGGCGCGGCCAAGACGTCACGCTGCTCTCCCCGATACACGACAATGGCTTCGTCAAGAAGATTGATTAGCATTTCAGCATTGCACTTTGTATCAAATTTAGGAAACAGCAAGCTGCTACCAACGGCTTGACCAGCTTTGTCTTCGAGATCAAGGTTGATGAGTGCATTGACGAGGAAGTTGACAGGAGGGTCCATTGGTGGGGTAGGCAGTTTGAGGCGCAGAAGAATTTTGAGGATTTCAGGGATGGACGATGTGAAACAGCCAGTGCGATCGGGATAATAGTGGCTGATGTTGAAGATTAGTTTGAGAGACTCGGATAATGCCATTTCCTCCTGGGGCGCCAGTGGCAACTTGTGCTTCTTTTTGCTGAAATGTTTTGCGATTCTGGTAATGTTCTGCATATTGTGTTACACCACTGTCCGAAAGTGTTCGTCCGATCGTCCGACTTAAAACACTTACTTGATTGATATTAATAGCCAACTTATGCTGGTCTATTAGGCGATCAAAGTCTAAGTTGGTATCGTAAGTTGTATAAAAGAGGAGACGGGACAGTAGGAACTGGTCGTCTAGATTATCACACTGAAAAGATGTTAAAGAGCTTTACCACAAAAATCATTTTCAAGCTCACGCATACCTTGAGTCGATCGGCTGCTTTTTCTGCGAAACCAAGATCGACAAATATTTGTCTGGTCTTTGACTCGAGAAAGAGAGCATTGGCTAGGCACTTCAAGGCTTCTCTTGACGCAGCCGACGGTGAAGCATCTAAACCATGTCGCCCGAGGACCTCGATTCCCTGTAGAGCTTGGATATTAGACAACAGGAAACGCAGTGCAGTAGGAGCAAAATGTCTTACGTCTTTCGTGAAGATGGGAGCCGCATTCTGGACACTACGTCCGAGTATCTTGAGAGATTCAAACGTCTTTTGCTTTTCTTTTAATTGTTTTTTAATCAGACTGGCAGTCACCCAGCAGATACACATGCTGCCAAGACTTACCGGTCACGGATAGCGATTTCTTGACTAAATCCTCACGAAGCTTGTTCAATAAAGCAGTGACCTCGGCCACTTTTGCTAGGAAAGTGTCAGTAGGGATTACGATGAAAGTTCGAAAGAGCTGACAGATCCACCTATCGTACCTTGATCAGCCATGGCACCAAAAAAATTCAGTCAATTTTCTAGAGCGGATCGCAAGACGACTGATAACCTAATTGAGTAGAGATTCAGGGAAAGCGTTGGAGATTTAGGAAATGATTGTTGATTTAAAGGAGCAAGAGTTATTACGATCGCTGAGTAGAATATGAACGTGTCAGCCTGCTAACGTTGTTACATCTCAGATGGACTTTATAATGCATGTTACCTTTTGAACGTGTAGTTACGTCGAAGGGGCTCTCAAGGTATCATTCAAAACCCTTGACCCCACATGCAATATGTAGCTTCCCTCCCGCAATGCAGCGTGATGGGACTTACCGTATGTTTCAGATAGAGTACATCCATTACCACGGCATTACTTATGCACACCTCGTGACCACATGGACCCTGATTTTAGGCGGGGCAAGTACTTCCTCGCTTAATTGGACAAATCCGTCGCACTTACTTCATTGGGAAAAATGATTTGGCAACGTTATCAGCCACAATTGGCCAGTAGCCACATAAAAGTCATTAGCAAATCAGAAGCTCAAACGCCAACCATACGCCACACTTTACACGTCCCGGGGGTCGCTCCTTCCTTGGGCGCGTTCTCTGCGCGTCTTCCTTAACCCGTAATGTTGGCGCACAGGCCATCTACACCAAACCTTCAACCTTTTGGTCGTCATTTGAGTTGCTGCCTTCGTTCCCCAGACTTTTGAACATGAGTACGACTTGATACCCTCTAGTTGGCGTTGGATTGTTTCTTTGGCGCCGATATGCTTTTTTCGGTCGCTTCCTAGAATTGCCTGATCCTCTTTCGCTGTTTCGGTGGCCTGGACGGATATCATGATCATGCTGGAATCCGGCCGTCCGTTCGAGGGTCTTCCCCCTAGGCCGCCGACTCCGCCAAAAGACTCGGGAAAATTAACAAAGCAAAGGACTTTAGGCGATTCACCAGTCAAGTCTGCAGACTTGCTGGTTCATCCCATTGCTGCAGATACCCCGCCCAATAATTCTCCCTCCTCCTCCTCCGCCGAATCGGCCACACCTGGGAAGAAAACGAAGCGAGTCGGCTTCTCTCCCTGGACAGATTATCACCAAGCTCCGTCTTTTACTGGTCAAAGTTTCAGGCGTGAAACTCCATTGCGGCCACTGCCGCCATCTCGAGAACGCAAATCGATCAAGTCCATTCTTAAACCCTACGACCGCCCTTTACCTCAAACATCTGTCACTGGTGCAGTCGAGGATGACGGCAAATCTCCTGTGGTGCAGAGTCAAGACCAGTTCTCGGACATGTTGGAGTCGGTCGTACAACAACTAGCCGGCGAAGATAGAAACTCGAGACTGGATTCGTATATCGCCTTATCTGGCGCTTTAAAGGCGTACGATGCGGTGCCCGAAATTAAGACAATCAAGGGGAAAATGGGGCTACTGGAACAATTCATCCGCAGGGACCTCACTGCTCAATCGCCCCACGACTCCGGAACGTTAGATACTACTCTGGTGACCCAGGCATTAAAACTTGTTATTACCTTTATCTGGACACCATTACTTTGCGAGATGCTGACGGAAGAGTTCTGCTTATTTCTCATCGATCACGCAATTAGCATCGTACAAGAGGCTCAACAACCCAAAGCTGTCATCAATCATTATATGCACCTTCTCAGCCAACAAAAATTCTCGGCAAGAATCATGACAACCGATCGTGTCACTCGTCTTCTTGCGGCTCTGAGAGACATTGATCAGCGGGTCAAGGGAAATGCCATTGTGTGCGAACGACTCATGGTCTATGAACGCTTATTTAATCAAAGCAAATCGGTTGTCGTTTCGAGAGTTACCGATTGGATGGACCATATTTTTGTCGGTATGCTGAGCAGCATCAAGGAAATACGTACACGAGCAATTTCGTTTGGTCTTCAGACATCTATGATCTTGGGCACTCTACCATCTATATCTCGAGTCGTCAAGGCGACGCTGGATCAGCAAACCGAAAGGGGACGCTTCTTTGAATATTTTGTCGAACGGCTGGAGGCAATGCTCGCTAGCAAAGACGACGGACCACATGTAGCACAAGTCTGGAGTGTCGTCGTTCTATATCTCCGAAGCCGCCAATATCAGCTTGAACACTGGGACCATTTCAGAGCTTGGCTTCACATCATCCAGAAATGTTTCAATTCTAATGACCTCCTGACCAAATTTCAAGCGAATCTGGCATGGAATCGGCTCGTTTACGCCATCAATCCCGACACCTCCACAGCACAACCCATGATCAAAATGCTCAGACAGCCAATCATAGCACAATTGGACCGTAAGAGCCACGATAAATACGCCGGCAGAACGAAGCAAGGCGCCTTCTCGAGCTACTGCAATCTTCTTTATTACTCCTTTAGACCACTGTCGCCTTTCGAACAGCTCGACTTGTACTGGGAAGAGTACGTAGCCCAAATATTTGGAAAACTTCTTCTTCGAGAACAACAGGAAAGCAGCCAGTGTTATCGAATTCTCGCTGCGATGCTCGAAGCTTCTCCTGCTCCAATTTGGAACCCAGAAAGGGCAAATATGCTGGAACCTGTGAGACCAGAGGAATTACCCCGCCTCGATGCTAAGTGGGTTCGTGCCAGAGTGCCTGCAATTATTCGAATCATGGAGATGATCCTCAAAGGCGACTCATGGGCAACGTCGATTGAAGGTGACTGTTGGAGTAAGAAGATCTGGCGAGGCTTTTTCAGGGTCATTGGGGAAGCCGGAAGCAAAGAAGTCAAAGTCTCTCCTGAACTTGTGAAAGCTTTGGCGCAGGTTTTTAATCTTCTTCAGAAGCTGTGGATTACGGGCCCCCAAGCGCTCGGGTGCAACGGCCAGCCGAGCGACGTTTTCATTGAAAGATATGCCTTTCTGGTCAACACAGTCATGGATCATGTTGGATCCATTGTCTTCACCGAGAAGATTCTCATGAGAATTGCTCAAGATAAATTTGAAGCGGCGCTGACCCCATCTCGCCGATTATCGAGAGATTCAGATCCTCAGTCTCCTATAATTCACCTGCTCTCGCTTTTTTCCAAGCCCCAACTTGCCATCGAACCATCTGAAACGTATTTTGGCATGCTTCGAGACCTGCTCGAACGATGCCGAACTTCTCGAAGTTCCCGGATGTTACGGCTTAGCTTCCTGAGGGAATGTGCACAATTGCTACATGGAAATTGGAGTTCATCCTACGATTCCAGGAAAGCCTTGCAACTATGGAGTACCGTCGCTACATTAGCTCGGGCCACCATCGAGCAGAGCAATTCCGGTTCTGTAACGGATACTCCTCAGCCCGTCGGCCAGGAATATCGCGAAATCACCAAGATTCTTGAAGTCGGATGCGGTCTGAGGGACCAGGAATGCTTTTCAGATTGGGAGGCCTTGTTCATCGCTTTTGCGGCTGTTGTTAAAAAGGAAGCAGGTGATGCAGCGGCCATTATATCTATTACTGAGCCCTTGGCCCATGTCATCAGTACCCGAGCCTTTGAGGCAGAAAACTCCGAAATACTCCTTCTATGTGGCTCTCTGATTTTGAGCTCTAGTCTCAAGCCGGTTGATTGGTCGTCTATGGAGAGGAGCAAGAGGACACTCTGGGGTTTCTCTCCGGCACCTAAGAAAATAAATGAACTTGATTCGTTCAATCACTTGTACGAGATGATCAATTCTCTATTTTCAAGCTGCTACGAGAATCTGGAGAAGATCGAGCTTCACGGCGTTGCCAAGCTAATTTCAGCCACTACGGAATTCATTCGTCATCGGCCACTAACCTGGACGGGCATACTTCTCAAACGCATTCAAAATGGAGTGGCTTTGTTTATTGAGGATAGCAAACAGTTACTGCATAGTCAAGATCAAGTTTCTAACCAAGTATGTTCAGCTGTTTGCCCCCTATGTCTATATCAGGCCACAAAAAGCAATTGGTAGCTGACTTTCTCAGGTGTTTCAGCTTTGGTTGAAAATTGCAGCTTCTATTCGTAGTCTTCAAGGCACTGATAGTTCTTTGCTTCGCGCCCTCGACGTGCTTCTGGCAGCGGGCTTACAAAGTCGACGCAAGCGTATTATGAGTGTGGCGGTGGACCTGTGGAATGAGACATTTGGACTCGAGGACACCATCTGCTATCCACCCTTGGTATTAAAAGCATTGCAACAATGCCGAGTGGTTGCAGACCTTCGGCTGCCTTCCTTCCCAGATGATGTTGAGGATGTAAGTTCAGGCTCGCAAACTGATTTGGGCTATTTTGCTAATGTGATAGTTGCCTTCACGTATTCCGGTCTTCTCAGAATCCCAGGATGATGTTGGCGGCTTCTCATCTGATGTCGATCCATTCCGGTCGTCGCCAATAAGGCCGTCACCAACGCAACGTCGGATTGCCAGCAGAAAAAGTCAACGTCTTTCTTTGAGATCTCCTCGGGTACCTTCGAGCCCAACCAAGGAACCTCCAAGTGTACAGACGAGATCACGGACATTATCAAAGGGCGGAAATAGCGAGACTCCAGCTTCCAAGCGTCGTCTTCGTCACGACGATTCCCAAGTCGATTTTACGCCAGTCGAATCATCCCCGGTGCCGACCAAATCAACGGATTCACAACTCTTGACAAGTCGACAACGAGAAGTCCGTGAGCGACAAGCCGCGGAAACGGCAATGTTTCCCGATTTCCGATCTGGTTCACCTGCACCAGGGTCACAGAAGAAAAAGAATGGCGGTCGACGCCTTTCACTCAGCTCGCAATTTTCGACATCCAATCAACATCCTTTGCAGGCAGATGATGGACAAATGACACCAACATTGCCCCCTCCCTCGGACAGTGTTGCCAACGATTTTCTTGCATCGTCTCCTACCCCTAGACGCAGTGAACCTGAACAGCAGCAAACAAATAAAGACGAGGCTGTGCATTTTGATTACTCGACACTAAACTTTGACTCAGATGACGAAGAGCTCAGTGAACCGCCGTCTTCTCCTCCGCCCATGGATGATGACGAGTTTGGAATCAATGAGGAATCAGAAGACATTGCGGATGTTAGTGACGATGAAACACATCTATCCCTGGCAAGAGATGACGATGAAAGAATTGGAGGTTTGGAAACTGAGGACGATATTATGAATGACGATTTTCTGTTGGCACAACAAATTTCTTTTGAAAGCGGTAGTGCGACCTTGGGCCCCTCGAAGAAATCTGAAGAACCTGAGGATGACGTCGATCATCAAAGCGATTCAGTTGAAAGCAAACATGACAACTCGGCGAACGACACCTCAAATGGTGATCTTTTATCGGGAAGCGATTCTTTCTGGCGCCAAGTGTCCTCCAATGGTTCCGCTGAATCAATTGAAGCGAACGATCTGAAAGACAAAAATGAAGCCAGTTCACCGTCCAGCCCGCGGGGTGAGCAAAACAACAATGACGACGTTTTTGTAGACGCTCCTCAATCTCCAATTCACCATTTGGATGATGATGCAAATGACGCGTCTGCACTCCGTCACACTGGCGCAAAGGGGAATCCGCTTGTCGAGGATGCCGATGAGACGATCGAGAGCAATCCTCCCCCGACCATCCTTGACGATATCAGTTTCGTGGAAAACTCATTTTGCGATTCTAAAGCGGATCGGAGCAAAGGACCTGTGCTTCAGGATGAGATCCAAATGCAGCTGTCCAACAAGGGACAAGAAGAAGCATTCAATATGTCTCAACAGAGCAGTCATAGGTCATCTCGTCGGGGAAGGAAGCGAAAGCGCCGTTCCGCCGTGGCCAATAGCGGTTCTCCTGAAAAACGCTCTCGAACGAACTCCTGCGACACTGCCGTTGTTGAAAATAAGAATCAGAATTCTCGTCGGTCGGCTGTCGCAGATGAAGAGCTCGACTGCATCATTGTTTCTTCCCAGCTTGCTGAGGATACAACCTCAAAGGTTAAGCTTGAGCAGTCTCCTTTACCTGTTACGCAAGTCGAACTTGAATCAGCGGCCCGAAAAGAGCTTATTGAAGATGAAAAGCCAAATAGTCCATCCACTCCAAAGCCAAGAAGGGGCCGAAAACGTCGTCGTACAGATACTGTCGAGGCTGAGACTGTCGCTGACACTGGCAAAGGTATGTAAAAATCGTGCAATATCTTGTTGTGCCCTCGACGCTAACTTTTTGTCCATTAAAAACAGAAGGCGTCATGGAACCAAAAGTAAAGTCGATAAAGAAACGAAAGTCGACTAGACTTAGTCAAGCTTCTCAAGGATCTGCGACTGAAAAGGACGCATCTTCGCCAGATCACAAGGAGAATCTTACTCAGGGTGAACAACAATTCACGCTCTCGGTCCTACGCTCTGGCAAAGGACGGACCAGGGTTCTCGATAGGGTCGAGGTGGAGCATCGCAGGTCGAGAGCAGGCAAGAGTCCTTTGTTCATCGCCGATGATGAACCATTCGACAAAGATGGGACGTCGATCACCAAGACGAATAACGCCACATCCAACACTGGTAAAGATCCGGCGCCTCAAGCAGCAACTGAGGGTGATGATGACAAGCAAGGTCAGGTGGAAGCAGAAAATGCGGCGCCAATGTCTTTCTCCACTAAATCAGATGTTGAGGAGCGCAGCGCAGACTTGGTCTCGCTCGAGGTTGCTCTGGCAGAATCCGAAGCAGATGATGATACGGACAAGACTGGTGGCCAGGACGGGTCTCAAGAATCCGGGCAGACTATCATTGGGGGTCTTAAAAAGATTCTCAAGGATATCCAACGCGCTGTTCTCGGTCCTCAAGAGGTGCGTCAAATTGACGACGTTCTGTTCGAGGTACGGACCGAGGTTCACGAAGCTGCTCGCCGAAGTCGAGGTTCATGAGAATTTCGCGCGTGTATAAAGTTTTTACCTTTTTTTTTTGGTTTTCTCTGTGGCAATGGCATATTGTACAGATGGTACATGGAAGCATTTGTTGGCGTTGGGCTTTGTAATTTTTGGTTAAGCGTCACATTGAGCGTAGCATATTGTATTACGTATTGGTCAGTTTTAAACTTTATCAAGAAATTAGGACGAATGGATGGTCAATAGTGTTTGTAAACACTCTCAATTTGCAGTTGGTCTCAATTAAAGACCCTTTAGTTGAACATAATTGAGTGTAAAATCACAGCATAAGTGAATTCTGGGCTTCATTGGGAGAGAGATCCGAGGGTTGTCCGAGGATCGAAACGCACGGGCCAAGGATCAAACGGAGAGCCCCTCTGCTCTGACGTTATTAGCCGCCGAGAGAGCTATCTACGCCAGACCACACCTACTTTACCTCTGTCCTCTCGGTTTTCTCAGCTTCAAATTTGAAAACCTTCACTCAGTTACTTTCCTTTTCCCCATACAACCTTTTCTATAAATATTCCCTGGACTAAACCACAAGATACAAACCACAAGGTACATTCAAAGGTGAGTGCTCACTATGACATCAATCGCTGCAATCATGTTATCGTGCCAAAACGAGCTTCCAATTCTGACAAAGCACAGCAAGGGAATAAATTAGTGCTTTTTACACGATCCACGAAGATATTCAAGATGGTGGACCGTCCGAACAAGCCTACTGCCATCCCAGTTGGCTCCTCCACCGCCGTGCCCGCTCCTCAGGTCGACATTTCCTCAGACAACTCAAGCGTCACCGCAACACTGCCAAGCGGTGATTCAGTTACTGTCCTACTATTTGGTGCAACTGTCACGTCATGGAAGTCTGCAGGCGGAAAGAAGGAGAATCTCTGGCTCAGTGAAAAGGCCATCTTAGATGGCTCAAAGCCTGTGCGAGGAGGCATTCCGCTTGTGTTCCCGGTATGTCGTTCCCTGTTGAACTTTAGTCCCATGTTCAGAGGAGCTGTACCCGCTTGAAAATAATGCCCCTATCTTGTGGAATACTCCATAGCATTGTGACCAGGCAAGCGGTAAAACGATTCCAGCGCTGACTCTTCGTTCATCCTTAGGTTTTCGGGCCCCCTCCCTCTGACCACGCCACTTCTTCTCTCCCCCAGCACGGCTTTGCTCGAAACTCCCGATGGGAATTCCTCGGCAAATCGACCTCAGAGTCTGCGGGCAAGGGCTCGGCGGGCGATGATAGCGTGACCCTTGACTTTGGACTTGGTTCCTCAAACCTCAGCGACTCCGCCAAGCAGGCATGGCCGTTCAACTTTGGTCTAGTGTACAGCGTGACCCTGGTCAAGGATGTTCTGACGACGAACATGACGGTACGAAATGAGGGCACAAAGCCATTTGAGTGCCAGGTGCTCTTCCACTCTTACCTCAAGGTCGACGTACGTTTTAGTCTGCAGTGCAACGTCCGAAAGCTGTGCGAAAGCTGGAAGCTGACTTTGGTGGTTCTAGGACATTGCCAACACTACCGTCAGCGGTCTTGATTCAATCGAGTATGTTGACAAGGTCAACGGTGCATCAACCCAAACCGAGACCAACAAGGCTGTCACTCTTACCGGAGAGACTGACCGCGTGTACAAAGCCCTGAAGCCCGAGGCAAAGGTTGTTGTCAAGGAAAACGGCAAGCCCCTGTACGAAGTTGGCCGGGACAACCTCGATGATGTCGTCGTTTGGAATCCTTGGGCCGAGAAGGCTGGTGGCATGGGTGACTTTGCGCCAAAGGATGGATACAAGCAGATGAGTACGTTTCTATCCTTATATATGCCCTTGCATTTCTTTTTCATCCTTCCATTTAGACACTACAGCCATACGCATCTATTGAA